AGATAAGAAAATGCATTAAAAAGGTCCAATCCTGCTTAAGAGATCAGCATCTCTGTTATTTTTCCACACTCAAAGTGTGAGTGTGGAGAAAGTGACGGACTTCTGCAGGTTTACATAATGGAAGTAAACACATGGGGACACACGAGGGACAAAGAAAGAAAAGAAACCAGCAGGAGCTGAGAACTAAAAGAATGCTTGTGATGGTCTTGTAAAATTTCATGACTTCAATGACTTGCCCTGTTGCTATTTCCATGACCTAAAAATATTTTTATTTGGTAAAAACAATATTGGTTAGTTTTATGAAAAAAGAAAAGGTAGGGTACTTGTATACCCTACTGTAGATGGGAAACTATGTGAACCTGCCTATTTTTAAATATCCTGAATTACCCAGAGTTTCTGGGCAGTAGCATGGCTACATGCTTTTCTACACTGTATATATTATTTTCTTAAATATAAAGGGGACCCATTATGTTCAATTCCCGCTTCATATCTTTAGTCTTCCACAGCCATAGCTTTGCATGACTGATGTTATAGCAAATTTAAAATCATCAATGTAACTATTTGCCTTTACTACAAATACAGGCAGTAACAAAGAGTGGTAAGAAGGCACAAAGTCAAAGAAAAGAAGAGACTGAAATGAGCATTGTGCACAAAACACACTCCTTGTTCCTGCTTCCACATCCATGCCTGAGGGCGTTCTGCTCAGCCACTCAGTGCAAACTGATAAAAGATGGGGAAAAGGGAGATAAATCTCAAGTTTAAGCACTGCAGTGCAGTACCTGCAACCAATGTGGACATCTATCTTTTACCTGGCTGCCCATTTCCACTTCTTTCTTTAAAAAAATAAAAATAAAAAACACAGATAACCTCACACATTCATTAAATTCAAGACCTTGCAATACTGATAGAAACCCTTGGAACAAGCACTGGCAATGGAGAGGGGAAAGTAACTCCAATCTAACAGGAAGAAACCTCCAGGCTCAGGGTTTTCCATCAGTTGGGGTGAAGGAAGAGAAAAATAATGAGCAGTGAGAAAAATAAACAATAAGCAATAAAAACAAGTGAACAATAAACATGGTCAGGTCAGATCAAAAGCTCAAACATGCACAGAGACATCTGACAGAGAGGAAGAAGCACAAACTCCACAAGAAGAGATGATACAAAGTTAGTGAAATGCAACGTAGTTACACAGAGGAGACATGCTCAGTGCATCATGGGGAATCTCTCAGCAGCATAACTATGGGAGGGGTCAAAGCCACCTGATCTGACACCTGATATCAAAAAGGAAAATTTTAATATTACAGATATAACAGGCATGGTCTCTGTCTCCTGAACAGAGTGTGTTATAGAGGCCTGGCAGCTGGGGGCTCTGGCTCATATTGCACATGCAGATAATCTAGTAAGCAGACACTGCAGGTTTGTCTTTTCTCAGACATCAATAACCTACAAGTTCAGGTAGAAGAAATAAAAATGCTGAATTTGTTACTTTCGTTTAAAACCTGTGCTGAGATTCTTTCACAGAGGTGTAGGTGAAAACGCTAGACCTCTGTGATCCAGCAACCTCTCACCTGGAAGCGGACTTCCTGGCTGGTGCGCTGGCTGCCGTTGTCGTCGCTGGCTGGGTCCGACACGATGGATAGGCGTTTCTTCTCCTCGATGGCTCGTTCCCTGATGTACTGCAGCCGCCTGGCACGGCCGAGCTGCTGTGAGAGCAGCGACTGGAGCTGGGCACGCTCGATGGAACCCAGCAGGATCATTGACTCTGGGAGAGGAGGCACAAGAGGAAGAGGGAGAGGTAAGAAGAAGACAAAAAAGAGTGGAGGAGCAAGTTTGCAGTGGCGAGAAAAGTGAAGATAATGTAAACTTGTTTCAGGGACAAAGGGCGAGCTAACTGCAGCCAATTCCAAACGCATGTCGCAGCACTGCAGAGAGCTCAGCTGAGTTACATAACAAAAGCAAAGAATGCAGTGGATGTGTATTAAGTAGTGTGTGTATGTGTGCGAGTGAGTGTGCGTGTGGGTGGCCGCTTACTTGCTTTAAGTAATTGCCTTTGTGACAGTACGTGCTGATTATGTATTTGCTTAAATGCCGAAGCTAATTGTTCCTGCACGACTGCATAATTGAAACAGCGCTCGGAATACCAAATCTGCACTTCAGCGAGGCGGCCGGCGCGATCAGCAGCCTGCACCCAGGCAGGTTTGTCAATCAATCAATTAAACTAATGAGCACATCACCAAGGGCGCTGGAATTTGTTTTTAGTGCGCTTACAGCAACATCAGCAGCAGCATGAAACAATGACATGAATAGCACATCAGACGGGGTGATTAGCACACTGTTCTCACACAGGATTTACTACTGTAATAACTGTTGTGTTTCTTATATCACTTTCACACTGGTGGGTGCTTGGAAGTTTACACTTTTTTTTTCTCTCTCTTTGTTGTAACACATTAAAAAGGGACAGTTTTGGGCACACAGAAGCTGGCAGTCAACAATTAACTGTTGCTATTCACTTTAAATATCTGCTGGAAACGTCACTGGACATTTAGGTTATGTAAAGGACCCAGAATGGGTCATTCTGCATGGGAACTGTAACGATTGCGCACTTAAAATCTGAAAATCTGTGAGCAAAACAAACACAGCCTTTCACAAATGTACATTGTTTGTTTTTTTTTTAAGCTATTGAGGTATTTTCTCTGTTTACATTTTCTCTGGGGTTTAGTCAACTTCTGTTGCATTTTGTGCACTTTTGCATCGCCTTTCTATTTACTGGTATTTTCTTAAGTTGCAGTGCATTTGCCCTCCCAGTGCCACTGTTGATGTCACTTAAAAGGACAGTAAAGCATTCTGGTACATAAATGTTGTGTGATGTCTGGGTGAAAAGTGACAACCATTAAAATATATATTCAACTTGTCGTTTCAAAAAGGAGTTTTTCCACAAAAAATGAAAGTTGCTAAAGTTATTCCCATTTACAAAACCGGTGAAAG